TCGGGCTCCCTGCTCGGCGGGAAGCCTGCTTCTCCCTCTCCCGCTCCCCCTGCTTGTGTTCCCTCTCTCGCTGTGTCTCTGTCAAATAAATAAAATCTCTAAAAAAAAAAAAAAAAGAAATACAAAAAAGGTTGTTTTTTTTTTTAGTAAGTGGGCCTACAGTGAACTCATGTTGTCCTGTTTACTTTTTCATTCAGCATTGTATTGTGACCTTTCCACGTTAATGTATATAACCGGGATACGTCTTCTGGTCAGCTGTTAGCTAGTCCATTGTAAGGCTGTGCTAAAGTTTACTTAACTCTTGAGCTGTTGGCGGACATGGATGTTTTCAGCTGTTCTTGCTAGTACAAGCTGCTGATGGAGAAACCTGCCTGAATGTGCCTCCTTGTGGATATGTGCTGTTCTCTAGGGTATATTCTGGGAAATGGAATTGTTGGGACAAGGAAGGACTTTTGTCTTAATATATGTGGCCATTTCTTCCAGTAGTGGCCAACCTGATCGGTACTTTCCTATCACTGCATGAGACGGATGTCCACAGGTATTACATCTTTTGAATTTAACTTAGCAGTTGTGTTAATAGTGGTTAGGAGGATGGGCTTTGAATGTGATTAATTTTAAGCAGTGCATCCTGAAGTATTTACATGACAGATGTCATGGCATCAATATAAAAAGTATTAGTATGGGTTCTTGGATCAGATTGCCTGGGTTAAAGTTCTGGTTTCAGTAATACCATTTACTGGACCCTCCGTTTCCTCATCTGTAAAATATGGTAACAACAGTTCCTGCTTAATGAGGATTAAAGATAGGGGCAGAGAGCTCAAATGTTAGTGATAAGAACTATTATTTTAGATTTGTTTGTTTTTTAAAAGATTTTATTTGCCAGAGAGAGTGAGTGAGCGCATAAGCGGGGAGCGGAAGGCAGAGGGAGAAGCAGGCTCCCCACTGAGCAGGGAGCCCGATGCGGGACCCTGGGATCATGACCTGAGCCAAAGGCAGACGCTCAAGCGACTGAGCCACCCAGGCATCCCATTTTAGGTTTAAAACAAGATTTTTCTTACTGTAAATTTAAGATTTGGTCATTGTAAAAATTTGGGAAATACAGAACAACTTAAAAATAGCTAATGGGGGTGCCTGGGTGATTCAGTTGGTTGAGCGTCGGACTCTTGATTTCAGCTTCGGTCATGATCTCAGGGTCCTGAGATCCAGCCCCATGACGACGGGCTTTGCACTCAGCAGGGAGTCTGCTTGAGGATTTTCTCCCTCTCTCCCTCTACCATGAGTGTGTGCTGTCTCTCTCTCAAATGAATAAATGTTTTTAAAAAAAAATAGCCAACAGTTTGTGTGGTTTTCTCAGTTGTGTGATGTGGCTTGGTTTTAAAGAGGATACATTATTAGATGTGAATGAGAAACTTAAAGCTTTTGATTCTGGATTTGAGGAATTTCAACAAGAACATGCTTGAGTCAATATCAGGAGTTATATATTGGTGATGTGCTCATGTCATTTTCCAGGTTTATTAAGTAGCATTTTTCTAAAAAGAAGAGCTTTCTTTTTTTCTCTCCTGTTTACTCTCATTTTAAATATATTATGAACTTATTTAATGGATTTTTATTATTCGCTGTGTTACCATTGCTCACAGTCATTACTCTTTATGGTACTCATCTTGTTACAGGCATGTTAGTGGAAGCTCCTTTAAGAAGTCTTCTTTGTTTGACATCTCCTTGGTCTTCCTTATTTTCTCACACAACAAGCTGTTACAGGCTCACCTGTTATTTTTACTCTTCAAACCTGGAATCATCCATTTCTCCAAGGATCCTTGGTTTCTTTTAGCATGTGGGGGGCGGGGAGTTGTATTTAGAAACCAAGATCTGAGTGCCAGGTGTGCCCATTACTGTCTTACTAGCCCCTCTTACTAACTTGTGAGGTATAACTTACAATTACATAAACCCAGACACAGACTAAGAATTACCACATACAGACAAATGATTTTATTCATGTTTGTGTCTTTAAAGCAATAGAAACATTTTATTCCACAATATTTTGACACAGACTTATATATTTAAATACTCCTTTGTATTCTCATGGTCAGTGACTAAGGTAAAGCTTCCATTACCCTTAAAGTAGTGTGATAATTTACAGGATAGTGGTATAATAAATTGTAATTAAGGGAAAAAATGCTGAATATGTACAACAAAGAATGTTGAAACAATTGAGAATAAATTGTGAATGTTTTTCTTACATTATTTTTTAGACTGTTAAGTATATGCTTAGGCATATCTGATGTATTTTTTATACTTTATACAAGTGGAGAGAAAAGTATACTGAACCCCTCCCCCCTCCATGCAGTTATCACCCAGCTTCAGCGTTACCAGTTCGTGGATATCTTATTCCTACCTATTCCCTCTGCCCCTTTTTAAGAGAATTCCAGACAGCTGATAGCATTTGAAACTTTTAACCTTTTCTCACCTGTTGCCTTGGTTCTCTTGACAGGAGGGTGCTCTGACAGCCTTTCGCAAGACATATGACAAAACTGTGGCCTTGGGTCACCGACTGGATATTGTGTTCTATCTTCTTAGGATTGGATTATTTTATATGGATAATGATCTCATCACACGAAACACAGAGAAGGCCAAAAGGTACTTTTTAATGATGGCGATATATTTCCTGTAAATTATGCTATAAATAAGAAACCGATGTAAGAAATTTACCTATTTTATTTACAACTAGTAAATTAGGTCAAATAATTGATGTGCTTTTTAGTAAAATATTTTCTTTAAATATTTCCTTCTGATTCAAGTTGTTGTTTTCTGTTTGAAAAGAACACAACACTTACAAAAGGTGGCCTTGTCTGTTTCCAGATTGTGACCCTACTATTTTTTATTTATAGCTTAATAGAGGAAGGAGGAGATTGGGACAGGAGAAACCGCCTAAAGGTATATCAAGGTCTTTACTGTGTGGCTATTCGTGATTTCAAACAGGCAGCTGAACTCTTCCTTGACACAGTGTCAACATTCACATCCTATGAACTTATGGATTATAAGACCTTTGTGACTTACACTGTCTACGTCAGCATGATTGCCTTAGAAAGACCAGATCTCAGGGAAAAGGTAATGCCTGAATCTTTAATACTCGTATTTAGAAATTACTCCAAACTTTTCTAACCTAAATACACCTTAAGGCATACATTTGTGTGTTTTTTGTTTTTGTTTTTTCTTTTTTCATCTGTAGGTGATTAAAGGAGCCGAGATCCTCGAGGTGCTGCATAGCCTTCCAGCGGTCCGGCAGTACCTGTTTTCACTCTATGAGTGTCGTTACTCAGTTTTCTTCCAGTCCTTAGGTAAGGATAGAGCTGCTCATTTCAGTGATCTGCTTTGTCTTAATCCTGATCCTGTATGCAGATAACTAAGATGATTGTTCATATACGTGACGGACCGTGCAGGTCTTTGCTGCAGGTCTTTGATTACTGTGGCTCCATTTTTTTGCCCCTTTTTGTTTAGAAGAGGGGGGTTAGCAGACTGACTGTTTTTATATGGCCCAAGAGGTAAGATTGATGTTTACGCTGTTAAAGGTTTGTTTAGAAAATTTTTTTGAAGATTTATTTATGTTAGAGAGCAGGGGGAAGGGCAGAGGAAGAGGGAGAGAGAATCACACGCGGGGCTCTGTCTGACAACTGTGAGATCATGACCTGGGCCGAAATCAAGAGTCAGACGCTTAATCAACTGAGCCACCCAGGCTCCCCAGTGCTTGGTCTATTTCTGAAGTGGGTTTTGGCCCAGTGTTTATGGAGTGCTTTCTCCATGCATGAAAGTTAGGCTGCTTTAAGTAGTATGTATTCATACAAGTATGAATGAATTGTGTGTATGAATTCATACAAGAATTCATACTACTTGCCCTGTGTAATGTGGGAACCAGGGCCCTTGGCGTATGATGAGTTATCTGCCTGGCCTCCATTTCTCAAATGTATACACAGGTGCATTTGCACACAAGATCGTATTGCAGAATTACTGTTCAAATGTGGGGCCTTTCCCTTCTTCACTCAGAATGAATCCCTTCCCTGCATTCCTGGGGAGCTCTCATTTTATGCCCCCTTTTTTACTTGATATATAAATATAAAATTCACCAGTTTAAAATGTGGCTTTATCATCTTGACAAGGTTGTGCCGTCATCATCACTAATTCCTGAACATCTTCACTGCAAAAGGAACTCTGTTCCCATTGAGCACTTCCTGTTCCTCCCCCAGCTACCACTGATCTATCTCCATAGATTTGTGTGTTCTTACTCTCACATTTCATATGAATGGCATCATATCTGTGCGGCACTCTGTGCCTGGTTCCTTTTCCCTAACATCATCCTTTCTTGGGTCATCCGTGCTTTGGCATGTCTCAGTGAGTGCTCCATTTCGTTTTATGGCTGAATGATACTCCATTATATGGAAATACCACATTTTTACAATCCCTTCATCCGTTGATGGACGTCTGGGTTGTCTCCCCTTTTTGGCTGTAAGGAACATTTGTCTACGTTTTGTATAGACCTATGGTTTTTCTCTTGGGGGGGGGAGTGTGTATATTTAGTAGTGGAGCTGCTGGGTCATACAGTAATGCTTTGATTAACCTTTTGAGGAACTGCTAAACTGTTTTCCAAAGCAGTTACACCATTTTACATTCCCACCAGCAGTGTGTGTGTGTCAGTCTCCTCACATCCCGTACTTGTTGTTGTGTCTTTTTGATTATAGGCTTCTTACTGGGTGTGTAAGTGGTTTTGATTGGCATTTCTCTGATCTCTCTGATGTTGAACCTCTTTTGTGTGCTTTTTGGTCATGTGCCCCATTGTAAAATAGTATGTTATTTTGTGATTCTTTCTTTTTGTTCCTTCTACTAACTGGAATTATTGGGAGCAGGTTGTTTTTTGTTTTTTTTTTATCTTTGTAAGGAACTGGACACCAGCACATTGCCTGTACATTATTGCGTGCTCTGTGCAAATCTGTTGCGTTAGTTAATTTAAGAGGAAAGTGAGAAAAAAAATGAAATTCATGGCTTTGGGAAACCTTTGAATTGTTTAGATATTAATCTTTTCCTGCTGTCCCCATTCCTAACAGCAATCTTTTATTTGAACACTGTGGGTGAAACTTATCTCTACCAAATGTGTACATTTCCCAGGTATTTTATTTTTTTAAAGATTTTATTTATTTATTTGACAGAGAGAGTGTACACAGTGAGAGAGCGAACACAAGCAGGGCGAGTGGGAGAGGGAGAAGCAGGCTTCCCGCTGAGCAGGGAGCCCAATACGGGGCTCGACCCCAGGACCCTGAGATCATGACCAGAGCGGAAGGCAGACGCTTAACTGACTGAGCCACCCAGGAGCCCCTCCCAGATATTTTAAATGCAGAAAACAGGATAAATTTTCTTTGATGATAGTCATCATTATTTGTATCCTTTATTCTCTCTAGTGTACTGAGACATGTAGGATTTATTTGGTTTTGTGAGCCTATTTGCTTCCCTGAATATTCATAATGTATGTACTTTAAAATATTTCATTTGAAAAAGGAAACTGCATCCTATCCTAGGTAATACCCAGTTGTTTTTGAAATTAAAAATAGAGAAGGCCCTGTTCCCAAATCCATACACATGTTCACTCACAAAATTCTTCCAGAGATAACCATTTTAAGATTTTATGTATCTTGGGGCGCCTGGGTGGCTCAGTCGTTAAGCGTCTGCCTTCGGCTCAGGTCATGATCCCAGGGTCCTGGGATCGAGCCCCACATCGGGCTCCCTGCTCTGCGGGAAGCCTGCTTCTCCCTCTCCCACTCCCCCTGCTTGTGTTCCCCCTCTCGCTGTGTCTCTCTCTGTCAAATAAATAAAATCTTTAAAAAAAAAAAAAAGATTTTATGTATCTTTCCAAACCTTTTGTTCATTTAAATGCACTTTAAGAAATGGAAAACAATATACCAAAAACCCAGGGTTTTTGGGTTCTCCCTAACCTATCAAGAGCCCTTTCTCTAGAGGTGACTGCCACTGTCAAGTTTCAAGTGTGTCCTACAGGGACATTTGTATCCAGAGATATAAGCACGTAACACCATTAAACATATGTGGGTGTATTTTACGTGCTGTTTTCTAAGTGGCTTTTTTTCTCTTCACGATATAATGCGAGTATCTTTTCATGACTCTATAAAAATAGTTGGTCATTGAGTCAGTAAGTATTTTTAAGTAGTTGTCCTGTATCAGACACTGCGGATGTAGTGGTAAATTAAACAGGTGGAGCTCCTTGGAGCTTCTAGTTATCCTTTTAGAAGACCTTCTATTTCAGTGTGTTGGATGTGCCATAATTTATCCTCTAGATAAAAAAAATTACGCTGTTTACAGTTTTCTCCTATTGTGAGCAACTTTGTTTTGAACATTCTCTTATAATTCATCTTTTCTACTTCCTTACTTCGTTAAGAAAAAAATCCAAGAAAGTGAATTTTACAAAGTGAAAATACATTATATCTTGATCACTGTTGCCCTCCAGCAATATTGTGCCAATTTATATTTACGCAATTTTTTTCTGAAGTATAACTGAGATACAGTGTCAATTTCAGATGTACAACATAGTGATTTGATGTTTATATACATTTTAAAATGATGACCCATATAAATGTAGTTACCATCTGTCACCGTACAAAGTTAATACATTACTATGTTCCCTATGCTGATTAATGTATAGTTTCACAGTTTCTACTTCTTTTAATTTACATTGATTTTTTTTTAAAGATTTTATTTTTAATCTCTGCACCCATCATGGGGCTCAAACTTACGACCCCAAGATCAAGAGTTGCACAGTCCGACTGAGCCAGCGAGGCGCGCCCCTCAATTTACATCATTTGAAGAGAGCCTTCCCGAACCCCACCCCCTCCCCCCTCCACTCTTAGCCAGTCTGAGAGGAGAAAAATATATTCATATTTTATTCATTTCTTGTTTGTTTCCAAGGACAGTTTTTATTGAACTCTTGAGTCTTCTTTTAAATGGCACATAAATGACAGAAGATATTTTATGTTTGGCTTATGAATGTGACCCATCCTGACCAACATTTTTCTTCCCATTCTCTACCATAGATTTTCTTACTGTCTTTTTTTTCCAGTTTTATTGAGATCTGACATAAAACAAAGTTTAAGCTGTACAACATAATGACTTGATGTTTATGCATTTCTTTTGTGAGAATGAGCATCATCTCATTTTAAGGCCATTGATTTCCGTGTTGCTAAACCATGTGTAGCCTTACTCATCCTTACCTCTTTTGATGTTGAGCAACCTTTGCATCTTGCCACAATTTTGTTCTCTTGAACAATAACACAGCCTTGTTTCCCCCCGACCTACAACCTCATCCTTCGTTAGACCTCTCAGTGACTGCCTCAGACTTGGTCATTGCCCTTGTCTCCATCTACATTCTATCAATCATCAAATATATCTGGATGGCAGTGATTCCCAAAATCATGTCTCCAGCCCCAGACTTTTCAGTGAGTGCCAGACCCATACTTAAATATCTCCTTGGTATCTTCACTTGGATGCGCAGGTGAATCCACTTGAACACTGTGAATCTCCCTTGCCCTGACCCCTCCAAAAAAATCTCCAAAACCAGAAAACAAAAATTCTTCTCCAGGGATTTGCTTCTTGTTAAAGCCAGAGACACAAGTCTATTTTTGATTCTTTTGTCTTGCTCACCTTCCATATCCCTGTAGCTGCCCCCCCCCCCCCCCCCC